TCAAAAAGTATTGAGAATTTGTATAGCATCATAGAAGCAAAGTTGTTCAAAATGACAAGTAGCAGCTAAGGAGATCATTAAAAGTCGTCAAAATGACGTCACTTCCGGTCAGACCGGAAGTAATGTTAAATGGCTCATTCTTGCTCATATGACCGTAGATGTCTCTCGATCTCGATTTTTTTTTTCTTATCGATTTTGTGCACGCGAGTTCTCGGAAACGGCTCTCTCGATTTTCCTGAAACTTACAGATCAAAAAATCTAGATATATATTTTTTTGTTTTGATGACGTCACTTCCGGTTCCGAGCTTTCCGCGATTTAGTGATTTTCAGAGGGTCACTTTGTCCAGTAGTTTTTTCAAAAGCGCTTGTAGACAGAAATGTGACATTTTTCGGCGATGATAGAGCAACATGTGTAGATGTGACAGACGCATTTCTCTTTCTCCGGAAGTGCCGCACTTCGTCGCTCGCTATGGCCCGAAAAAAGTCCTAACGGGATTTTTAAAATTTCTAACACCTTTTCTACAATATCTTTTTACCTGTAAAAATTTTGTTAAAACATATAGAACAAAAGTTGTGTAGAGTGTTACGATCTTTCAAAGGATATCAACAATTAGGGGCTGGCCCCTAAAATTAGGGAGCTACAGGGGCCAAAAGTTTTTTCCTGATATCTCAAAAAGTATTGAGAATTTGTATAGCATCATAGAAGCAAAGCTGTTCAAAATGACAAGTAGCAGCTAAGGAGATCATTAAAAGTCGTCAAAATGACGTCACTTCCAGGCACACCGGAAGTAATGGTAAATGGCTCATTCTTGCTCATATGACCGTAGATGTCTCGAGATCTCGATCTCATCTCCTTGAAATTTAGACGGAAGACTTATTTGTTGCTTTGCACAAGCTCGTCTAGTTATTATTATTATTATTATTATAATTATTATTATTTTTTTTTTTTTTTTTTTTTTTTTTTGCTTGTCAAAGATTTTTCAGGTAAAGTGTCAATTATTTCTTAGATGCTACGTGCCTGAAAGACACTCTGAGAAAAGGGAGTATCCCCCCCCCCCCCCCCGCGCTCCACGTATGTGTATATTTGTTAATTTGTGTTCTGGTTAAATGCTCTCATGTCGTGTTCTAAATCTTTTTTCACACCAAATTACTCAAATTAGTTTTTACATAATCAGCAATTAGACCTTTTTTTTTTTTTTTATTTTTTTAGTGATTTCTTTTTTTTTTTATCCAGTCGCGCAAATACTAATTCCCTTTTTCACTTTTGATATTTTCCCTGACCAAAATCTGATCAGTACGGACTAAGCGTATTCGAGTGCTAGGCTGTACGATGAAGTGACAACGTGTTTACTGTTGAGTATTTATGGAGTTTATTACTTTTTTGTGATGCATATTTCAATAAATGGAATACAAGGTGTAAATTATTCGGCATGTGCACATCTTCGAACGGGTACGGTGGTCTATTTCCAGGTATGAATAAGTTTACAGTGTTCGACGTGTTCTCTCGATATACACCAATTGTATTTGAATGCATATGTACATGCATAGAAAATACGCTGGTGGAGTGGTGGTTTGTTCCATTCTTACGATAGATTATTGCAAATTGTTTGTACGAGTTTTACTGTGTATTATTTCAAGTTTATTGTGCATATATTGGTATACTTTTAAAAAACACGCGCAACAATTAATGTTTTTTCTTCCAAACTTGCATTTATGTTATTCAAAACGATAATTATTCATAATTATCGTTATGACTGTATTTATCTATTCTGGTTTTCAAATGTTTTCATCAATTCACGTGTTCCCAAATGCTTTACTATCGGAGATGTGCACGCGTCGATAGCCAAACCAAAAATTCACTCAAGTGTAACGAGGGCACTGGGGTATACATCGTTACAATAAGACAAGGTATCTGAAAGAAATATGGCGGAATAGTTGGTATGAAACAAGTCGTACATTGATGCAAATGTTGCGTTTTTAAGAATTCATGTCAGCTTTAATAATTTTTTTAAAATTTTCACAATGTAAATTATATATGGTAACAATTTTGATGCACCAGATGCGCATTAATAGTATGTAACCCATCACTGTGCAAATAAACTGGTTCCAGAAAAATAAACTTCAGAAAGAGTAGGTAAGTACAAGTAACTAATCTTTAAATCAAATGTCCTATCTGTAACAACAATTGCACCAAATTGCATAAATGCATGATTTAAAATCAAGTATTTGTTTCTCAGTGTAGCAGATGATATTTGAAGACTTGTTGTCATTTATAATTTTTCATAGCTGATTAAAGAATAATATTTAAATTTAGATATTATCTGTATTTCCTTAGGGGATGGGGTAAAGGTATTTTTTGGTCAACAAATTATTTTGCTTTTCTGGTGATCAGATACGTATCTACGTGTCTGGAGACCTGTATGGTAGCCTAGAGGTAGGAAGCCCGAGTTTGATTCTCGTTCGCAGCGTAGCGTCAAACGTAAGACTTTAATATAGGTAGTGACTGTTTCTTCTCCAAGCGCTAGGCGCTAGAAGTGAAATCGAAGAATTAACCGCGGTCCCTTGTCACGTTAGGCGATGAAACTATAAAGAACCTTTACTGCTCAATGATCCTGAGTACCGAGTATAGGTCTTGAAGCACTTCACCCTTATTTTGTGACGTCTCTATATGAGATAAAAATTTTCGAATGGGACGTAAAACAACATACATTCAATCAAATTGAATCAATCTACTATCTGAAATTTTAGTAATTCATATTGCCTATAGCTTAAATATGGTTTGTTTTTTTCAAAGGTTTTCTGGGTTTTTTTAATTTTTTTTTTCTTCTTTTTTTCTTTACAGTAAATTAAATATCCTGACTATTCCAAAATATTCAGAAGTTTATAATGTCGATTTTTATTTCTAAAATTCTAAAAGCCAAGACTCCTTTAATTACACTGAGCTTGTTTTGCAAAATATATGAAACGCGACATAATTAGTTCCAAACAATGCCATTTATTATGAAATGTTAACATGCATTAAAATACTTAAAAGCACGATGGCCTACATCAGCCTGTCTAAAATAAAATTACATGGCCTATAATTTTATCTTTTGTACTTGCACATTTCTTGAAATCTGTACAAGTACAAAAATATAAAAATTTACAATTTCGCGAAAAGACAAAATGTACATGTACAATTCTTATAAGTTGTACATGTACAGACAAAAAAAATCGAAAAAAGATTTTGTCACTATAATTATTGTACATGTAATTAAGATTCTTCTATTTAATTTAAAATTTTAATTAGCATTCACCTACTTGACTTTCGATAACCTGAACGCAATAAATAAAATATAATGGTCCCTTTGTAAAGGACGCGTGGGAAATATCAATTAAAGTATGTTTCTTAACTTTTATCTGTTTCGCACAGAGGAAGCAATTTATTACACAGCAAATTACCTATTATGTCCTACAAACGCAATTTGGGTGGTATTCTCTCCTCTTCAATAATTAATTATTTTATTTTTTATATATAGATGCAGAAATGCATGATGCAAATAAACTCCTGATGAGGCAGATCTGCAGAAAAAGGAAGAAAATCATTTCTTCATTAAAAAATCAATTAATATTAACATACTTCGTATCACACCTCCGAAACACGGAATTAGTGTAGAGTCAAGTGATCGGAGATTCGTGGCTGATGGAAGCCACTTTTTTTAAAATTCCGGTCCAAGTTTTAGTGATTTATTGTTTGAGGGTATCAGAAGTCAAGCACAAGAATCGGATGAATGTTAATTAAAATTTTAAATATAAGAATTGTACATGTACAATAATTATAGCGACGAAATCTTTTATATACTGTTATAGATTTTTTTTGTCTGTACATTTACAATTTTAAAGAATTGTACATGTACATTTTGTCTTTTCCCGAAATCGTAACTTTTTATATTTTTGTACATGTACAAATTTCAAGAAATGTACATGTACAAAAAATAAAATTATAGGCCGTGTAATTTTATTTCAGACAGGCTGATATCGGCCATCGTATAAAAGAGGGTGAGCATGAGATTACACCACGGCTGTGGTATATTTGTAAGCATACTAGTTTTTCACCAAATTGCATAATAACTACATGTGTATATAATTTGACAAAATAAATACCCTACAAATATGGTCATTAAATATATAGTAACCTAAATGAATTGGCAAAATCAAAAATTAAAAATTATTACAATGTGTATACGAAAGGGAAATCCAATGACAAGCAACATATTTAATTATCAGATCTGGAGGTGGTTTACAATATAGGAAAGGTACGGATGGCATAAATTGAGTAATCCAAATACACTTCTTCAAAAGAAATAGTTGTCATGTCGGACTTAACCAGTATTATAGAATGCTGTTACTTCGAGATGAAGTAACCCGGTGGAGTGGTTGATACTTTTATGCTTGCATTTGCTTGGGATTAGCTAAAAATACTTTCAAACCAAGTCGATCAAGTTATTAGATGGCTAATATACTTGGGGTATAGACTGAGGAACATGAGTTTAATCCTATAGACATTATAAACAACATAATATGTACAAAATATCTAAGTAATTTGTAGTATATCCTCCTTAGATATTAACAAAAACATCAAATACAATAAACAAAGCATAACATTTACTTATAAATGTTAAATATTATCCATCAATCACGTCTTATGTAAATAAATCTTCAATTCTTACAAAATCACATACACTATCTCTACTATGCAAATGACACATTGAAAAAGAACTATTAATATTTACATTGTTCAACAAGTTATGTAACAAATGTACCATATTGCAATAAGATGTGACATAAAAATTAGTTTTGCTTGATATTGTGTCCAAATGATATTGTAAAGCAGTCTTGGAGAGAAAATCAGTCTAGATTATTATATCCTAAAACACCTTTTCGACAACCACAAGACCGCAGAAAATTCAAAATACTGTCAAAATGTGTTGGTTTTGAGTATGTCGGAAGTTTTCTTATATTTAAACTTCTGAAGAAAGGTATATCCAAATAGTATAAGTATGAGAAATCCCTACCATGAAAAGTGTGAGGCAAAAGTCCTTTAAGTCCGTCGTCTCTCCCTTTCCTGTATCATTTTCAGGACTGGGGCTAGTGTTCTCAGAATCCTTAGAGACTTTACATAATTCCACTTTTGACCGACATATTTTATTGTTGAAACGATGACGCAAGATCACAAAAACTTGAAAACAAGCCCCTGTGAAAACATCAATAACCATCTTGATTCCCAACAAAGAGATATCAGATTCTGGTGTTTTTGGAATATGATCAACTACTATAGTGAGATACACAGCTATCGAGAGCAGAACAGTTACCGAGAAACTGGCTCTTTCACCACAATCCCGTGGCATCAAAAACACAAACGGTTGGAGCGATTGTAATATTATAAAAGGAAGGATCAGAAAACATACATAATATGTTGAATTTCGTTTTATCTTAAATTTAATTCTCGCCCTTTGAACTTCGGAGGTCCTTTTATTCCTGAAACCATCAATGCTGTCAACACTAATGCTGGCATCCTCTAAGTTCCAATTGTAAGTTTTTTTGTAAAGTGCCTTGTTGATTGTGCTGTTATGTGCTTTTAAGATAGTTTCTCCCATAAATGATCCCCATATCACCATGTCTATTGAGCATTCTTGTGTGTCAAAAGGAAAATATCTATAATTTGTTTTGCATTCTGTAGTAAATATGTCCATTTTTACCATCAATGCAGATCCGTCTCTATGAAACATTACTGTTTCTTCGACCATATTTTCAAAATCAGATCTACTGTACGCATTGATCTGACGAATAAGTGGAGTCCAGACTTCTGAGTCCTTTAAATACAATGGAAAATCTTCAGTTTGAAAACCTGGCGAGGAAGCCCAGTTCATGGCGACTCTTGGATCTATCCAGGACACTTCAAGATATCCACTAACTGAAAATTTCCCGTCCTCTTCATCAAAATCTATTATATTAGTAGTATCAAAGGCACTGAAAGATATGTAGACAATAGTCTGCGTATCATTTGGTGGTAACTCCTTTGTATAGTTCAGAAGAAGATCCTTTCGAAGTTTAGATTTTGATAACAGTATGGGATCCCATAAAGTCATCAAAACAATGAAAACTTTAACTATTTGATGCATTCCGTTCTCTGAAAAAAATTTTTTTTACAGTAAGCAAGGAGTGCACAACATGCGATGATTGTGTTTAAAAATAAAAGGGACCTCTGTCTTCCACAGACATTTGTTATATGTAATTTGCAATCATTTATTGTCTTAAATTTTTTAAATCTTAGAAAATTGTTAAACAAATTTTAAAAATTTTATAGGTGTTTACATACACTTTCAATATGTTTATGTGCATCGAAGTCAGCACAATGAGCTGAAGATCAAAGGAAAAGAACATATATTGAAAATTTTGTACTCAAGTGTTTTTACAAAGTGGGCACCGAACTAAACTGCAGCGAATACACAGTCGGTCGAGATTTTTTTTTTCCGTGCAACAATGGCCAAGCTAAATCAATATTCGAGATGTGATCAAAAAGGTCGCGAACTATCTCTATATTTACAAAACCACAATTCAGATCAGAATGAAATTTGGCAAACATATAGTCATAAGTAAGCATGTTCTATAAATAGAGATGTTACATTATGTTTTGCGCCATGCTTATGACGTCACAATATGAAAATGGCGTCAAAATATAGATGACTTGTGACAAAAAATGGTTGACTCAGTCGCACTCTTGCAAGAAACGGCTCTAAATTTATAATAATATATAATAATTTGTACAAGGTTTGTGAGGACAAATAACTTGGCAGAGGTTTAATGATTGATTGGATTAACTGTTTTAGTGAAGGAAGGGAGATGGTTAATCAAAGTACTGAAAGTACTGAAAGCCGGGCTTTAATATGTTCGAGTGTATTGTCTAATCCTAAATTAGTAAATATTTGAAAATCTTTCTTTCTGATCATTGATATTTAACAGGTAGAGTTTGTATGATTATAATTAACAATAACCCATCTACCAATAAAATTTACGGTCCAGAACCCAACGTTAAGACCCCAGGATAGGACTTCGTGATATTTTTAATGAAAATACATTTATACCTTTCTAAACATTAAGCTCACAATGGTTATGCATGGTAACAGTGCACTTTGAGTGGTTTTGCTGATTCATACAGGCACATATATAGTATCGGAGGAGCTAGGGGTGTCACCATTTTTCAAACATAAACTTTTACAATGGACAATGTACATTGAAAGGTTGATTGACTCTTCGCAATCAAATTTAAATTGGAACTTTCAACTCACTCTTCGTAATATAAACCAGGTATTTGTCACGAGCGACGAACAGATTTACTAAAAGCAAAATGGATAGTCTAATTTTGATTAGATTGTACCCATCATTTTATTGTAGCATATTAAAAGTACGGTAATTTGGTAATGAATTAATGAAATTCGAAATGTGAAAGTAAGTTGTAGCCCACCCCTACTCCTTCTCCAACGGAATAGGATTTTCGGGTGTGGACAATTCTCCTTTTTTCTGATAATGATACTACATGCCTGTATTAATCAGAAAAGAAATATTCTTTATTTTTGGTCCTCTAAGAAACCAGCTGCACGAAAATTATAATTATCTAATCTTTATGACATGAATATGAGTCTAGTTCTAGTTCCAGGTTCGGCCATAATGGTCATTGCCTGAGAAAATCATGATGTATTCAGGTCTTTATGGCTCGTACATAGATGGCTCTTCATTCTGAACAGGAAGTTTTGAAGCAAAGACTAACCAACTTTTTCTGAAAAATTATAATGTGTTGTACTTAGATAAAGACTAATGAACATTTTTATATGTTGTTTTCTTTTAATTATATATTAACATAAACGATTTTTATTTCCCAGCACCCTTGAGAGCTTGCGTGTGTTTTAAGACCATTTTTTTTTGGAATGCGCGCACACGCTCAATATACTGTAAAGCGCTTATGGAGCACATGCGAGATGAATCCAAGGTGACATACCATTGACTTTTCACTAAAAATTTGATCTGAATTTGTAAGCATAAAAATTTTCGACGCTAAATTGATTGTTAAATGGGTATAAATAATTTATATATTATACATAAACATATTCACATGAAATTTCTATCTTAAAGTTTACGTTTTTATTTATTTATATTCCATGCTTCACAGAATATAAATCTTTATCCCAGTCATTTAAATTAATACTATTAAATTAAAATATTAACCAAATGGAATCGCATTGTTTATTTCATATTATGAAAGAAAACAAATAGTTTTGAACTTCATTTACATCACCTTTACACAAGATCTTAGTCGCCCGCGTGGCGCAGTGGTAAGAGCGTCTGCTCTAGAGTCGCGAAGTAAGGAGTTAATCCTTACGTCGCGGGTTCGAATCCCACTGTGGGACGTGGAGACCGGTACTTCCGTTGAGACCGTATAAACCAAGGGCCCGTGTCGCAATAGGTGCTTGCACGAAAAAGATCCCTCACTGCTCAACGGCCGTAAGTGCCGAGTATAGGACAAAATTTGGAGCTCTCCACCGGCAAGTGGTAGTGTCTCCATATGAATGAGTGAGGGACGTTAAACAACATACAAACAAACAAACACAAGATCTTAACTATCATAAGGATTTCTGTTCGAAATTATTTATTAGAAAGGAGAAAGTTAATTTAATTGCATTCAGGGTTATCGAAGTAATACCGTATTTTCAAACCCTTTTCTTTAAACGCATTCAAATTTTAACTTTTTTATTTGAGTAGTAATATATTGAAAACATTTCAGCATTACCAGTATTACAACTGTAAGATTAATCTTCGTGAATATTTACATACATACATCATAAGGCTAAAAAAAAAATTGTTTGTTTCCGGTTATACCCGACTGACCTCCTACACATTTTTTTTCAGAAAATTACGAGTATCCGTAACTGTCTCTTTGTTTTACGAATTCGTAATGGCGGCGCACTTGTTTGCTGCAAGTAGTCGGTGTTCGCTGTTATTTTATGCCGTTAATATAATCATAAAATCATCATCTTTTTGCAATTATTTTGAAAGGAAAAATTTAATAAATTGTCTCCTGTTAAGCCGTTTTCACAAGATCAACCCTGAAAATATCAGCAGGAATTAACACGGTATCGTACCAAATTACATCTAATAAATGACCACCGATGTTTTTAAAATTTATTATTACATTAAATTTCTTGCCATTCAAGACACCTTAATGCTATACTGATCTTAAAAAAAATTACAGATATCACGACATTGTCAGTGGGCTTACTGTTTATACATGCATCACGGACGTAAATAAATATAGGTCAGACTAATTAAAATATAATATCAGTAAACGAACAAAAAATGTCATACAATTTTTTTTAATTCTACCAATAACATATGGCTAGTGAGGGGAATATATAAGTCATTTGTTTTATTTAATTTCACTAATTTAAACATTTAAGGTCACTAATTTTAACTTTTAAGAAAACAATTTTTTACAAAAAATGTTTGTCTGTCAATTGCCAAACTTTTTTTAAAAAGAATGTTGAACCATATGGTTTGCTGATTTTTCTTTAGATAGATTTGAATTAGAATTTAATTTAAAAAAAAAAATAAATTCATATTGGTTTAATAATTTATGTAATTCATAGTTAAAGAAATGCACATATTTTTAGAGATATTCTTAAAGTTTCAAACAAACACTACTTTTATCGCCGACTAGATACACCAGATACACCATGTACAATTGTCAGGCGACCTAATTCAGGCATAACGCACATTAATTAATTCTTTAAACTCCAATTTACTTATCTATTTATTTGCTGAAAGACAAAACAGAGAATATAACCACTCACATAACATCGACGAAAACGATATGAAATATAGGCAACCTGTCGAAAAGCCCGCGCTTATTGAAAATAGTTCGCTTACAATATGCATTCAGTAGCGTATGTGCACAAATTGTTATATCACGATAATAATAAAGTAAATATCTAATTCCTCTTTCAATTTAATTCTCAAACAAAAATATTGATCAATTAACAATTCCGTAGATTGAGATGTAAAAAAATATTTGTTTAAGTATCGTCTTTCAATGTGACTATTTTGTTTATCGGAAGCGTCTGCTTTGACGCTGTTAGGCTTTTTGTTTACTTTTCTAAACATGTGCTATTTATAGTAAGGCAGTCGATCACGATGCCTACAGCCAGGACTTTGCTTTCAGCAAAGCCCGGCTAAAAATGATGTTCGTTCTGGTGCCCAGTGAAAGTAAGCTGGAAAAGAGATGTGTCCTTAGTTGAACAATTTTTTACGATAGATCGCCAAGTCACAGTTAGAAAAATACTTGAATATCTTAACAGTAAAATAATAATAAAATTCATATAATATCATTTAGTTTAGACTTTACACATAAGAGGTATGATAGATGGAAGGAGCCCATACTTGATTCACATTGGATAAACATCGCACCCAAGACAGATGAGTCGGGTCGTGATTGTCACCATGCTCATTCTGGGAAAAATATCCTTATCCACCCATCCTTTTGCCGAGATTTGGCCACTTGTGACAAATGGACTTTTCTTGTGACAATAAATAATATGCATGGTAAGAACTATAAGACTCGTATAAATCTTTTAGTTGTTGTGACAGTACGCTACGGAGCATTTCATGTGACCGCGGGGACCACGTGTTTCGCACATGGACAGAACGGTTGTAATCTACATTAGAACTGGGGGGGGGGGGGCTACTTTAAAAAATAATAAACACTGAAACCTTATTTAATTCGATAAGTTTGCGAACTTTTTGATCACCCCTCGTACAGGGGATGCTGGAATTAGTTGATGATTCTTCTTGTCATTTTAAATATTTAAATCGTTGCTCTTCCGATTTGCAAGAAAATATATCCTAGAGTACCCATAAATCGTCCCCTTACGACATTCAACGTCACAGTAACGGCGAGCGCGTGTAAATTGATAAACAAACTTCAGTGCGATCTTTAGAAGTACGAAAGCCCAGAAGGCTCATTCGAGTTTCGAAATACGAGATTCGAAATTCGAGATTAGAAATTCGAGTTTCGAGATTCAAGATCCAAACTAACCAA